GTAATTGGGTATTCAAGTTTTTTTTTACCCTATAACATATTTATACACATGATCAAAGTGACAAATAATTTTATGTGATCTTAGAATTAAATGAAGATATTAAATACTTGGTGTACTTGTGATCAGGTCGTTACTTATAACAACGGTTTGATGGTTAATCCCTTGAATTAAGGGATTTCTACAGCTACAATTTTCATAACCCAGTAATTCTAATGACTCACGCCAACACAAGTAATTGGGTATTCAAGTTTTTTTTACCCTACAACATATTTATACACATGATCAAAGTGACAAATAATTTTATGTGATTTTAGAATTAAATGAAGATACTAAATACATGGTGTACTCGTGATCAAGTCGTTACTTATAACAACGATTTGATGAGCATATTTTATTTATCTAACTTGATTATTTTATTTCATATAACTTTGCAAGAATGACCAACATCATGAAATTGAAAATTTTTGGCCTAGGCATCTCAGGGTGCAACTACACGTCATTGGCTCTAGATGACGAGTTTTACCTTAATTTAGAAAATTTTGGAGATATCATAAAGGATAAAAACACGGCAACTCCTAAAAATCGTGCAAAATTGTTGATTTTTCTTCGTCATCACATTCATGAAGGATTAAAAAATAAGGACCTCACTTTTAAAGATCCTTTAGAGTTGTGGAAACATTTAAAAATCAAGTTTGCTCACCAAAAGAACTTTACCTTCCAAAAGCTAGACATGAATGATTTAGCCTACGATTCCAAGACTTTACCGAATATAATTCAGCAATACATAGAATCATTGTTAAATTGGAATTATATGGTTAGTCTGTACTAGATTTAGAAACACTGGAAAAGAGATATTTTACTTTTCATGTGTCAAGCATTCTATTGCAACAACAATATCAGCAATATGGGTTCAAGACATATAGTGAACTTATAGCATATCTTTTGCTTGCCGAGGAGAATAATGAATTACTAATGAGGAACCATGAGGCTCATCCAATAGGCCACCAAGCTTTTTCAGAAGTAAATGTTACATCTTTTTGTAGCCAAGGATGAGGTCGTAGTTATGGTTGTGGCAAAAATAAAAACAGTCATTTTTGTAAGTGTTACCGTGGAGGCCCGAAGTCCTTTATACCAAATAAAAAATGTAAAAATGCGCCACATCACCAGAAGTGGAACAACCATACAAACCACTAGAAGTAGAAAAAACAGAGCAAAGAAAAGAAAGAGAAGAGTTTACCGAATAAACTCTCTAAAAAGATTAAAGATGTAAAAACATATGTGGAAGGAAATGACACAGGTCATGTAGGTGCTCATATGTTGAAACATTTGATAGATCTCTATCAAAAATCCATCAAAGGAAAATAAAAATTTGTAGAGATAAATTTTGGTGAGGGGATATTTGGCACCGCACTCATCGATTATCCTTCCGATTTTGCTAATTTGGATTTTTTTATTTGTGAAAATTAGGCTTGAGTCCTCCTAGATGGACTTATAATGACTTGAGTCTGACAACTTATTTGAGAGTAAGTTCGTTTTTAAACTTATATGGAGGTACTTAAGTCCATTTTTTTTAATTTCAAAAATACCCCTAACGGTATTAATTTTGTTTAGTTATGGAAAACCATAGAAGTTAATTCATTGAGACATATATAGAAGGAAGATATGTTTGCTTGATTTTACGGTAGTAATTGTCTGTCACAATCTTTCCATAACTCTCTCTGTCGCCTCATATAACTTTCATTTTTCTGAACAGACTCCTCACAAGCTCCCATCTCTGTCTTCCCAAAAATCAAAGTCCCATTGGCCATTGCCACCACCAATCTAAAATCCCAACCCACTGCCACCAACAACCCACCGCCCTCAACAATCCACTAAATCTCTCCTATCCATTACTCTTACAGCATCAAACCCACCCACCAAAAACTTCGACGAAATGTCCCGAAGCATATTATTATTTTTTCAATTCTTGAAATACTGTGTTACTACATTTTTTTTTTGCACATGTTACTATTTTTTTTGCGCATGTTACTACTTTTTTGGATGATCGGCGAGGTTTTGATTTATGTTTCGATTTAGTTGGTTGTGTATTTTTGTGAAGAAGACGACGTTGTACTGGTACAATTTTTTTTTCATGTTGCTATTTATGTTTTGTTGGGCTTGTTCATGTTACTATTTTTTTTCATGTTACCATTTTTTATTAAACATATTACTATTTTTTTTGATAAGCATGTTAGTATTAATATTGAATGTTAACATTTTTTCAAAAATATCAATATCCAATGTTACTATTTTTTATTTTTTGAATGTTACTATGTTTTTGTGTTTAAATTTGTACTATTTTTTGTGTTTTAATGTTACTCTTTTTTGTTTTTAATGTTAACATTAAATATTAATATTTTTCTGAAATATCAATATTAAATGTTACTATTTTTATTGAGTATGTTACTATTATTTTTTATTTTTTGATGATACTATTTTTTGTGTTTAAATGATATTTTTTTATATATATATTTGAATTCAAATAAATTTCCTTGGCGGACTTAAGTCCAAACAAGTCCGTATATGGGGGACCGGCCTCTAAATTTCTTTTTTTATTTCTTTGTGAACCCAAGCAAAAATGAAATAGAGAATATAAATTAAGAATGTTATCTTGAATTTCCTAAAAGAAATAATTTGAGTGTATGCAAGTTTTTCCTTTGTGTGATATTTGAAAAATATTCTTGTCTATGTATTTTCTTTATAAACAAAATCATGTGTATTTTTCGTATAGAAGCATAAATCATGGCAATTCATTGGTTAACTTAAAGGTGAATGATGCAGATATATGCCTGGCCTACTGGATAGTACTATGACTCACACAATTCTTCGTAATAAAAAGTATTTATTTGAACTAATATTATCTAAAACTAGTGTTAACACAATATCAGATCTTGCAGACTTGATTGAAGGCTCTGATAGAGCAAATATGTGACAACCACAAAGAACAATTTTTTTTATTAAAAATACATTATACTCTAGTAGATCTAACAGAAATCTACAGAGTTTTAAAGATATACGTTGTAATGGATATCATATTAAAATGACAAATGAGGGTGACATAGAATATTTATACAACATATCTATTATATCATGCCAGAAACATATATTAGAGAAAATCCATACTATCTCTTCTAGGTTGTACTGTACCAGAATAAAGTTCATAGAATCAAATATTGTGATGTACCAGAAGTGCTCTAATTTAAATAATTTTATTCTTTGGCATAATTGCCTTGGTTATCCAAAATCAATAATGATACATAGGATCATTGAGAATTCACAACAAAAATAGAATAAAGAAACTTTTCAATTTCTAATTTTCACCAAAAAAGAAAGGAAGAAGAAAGAAACAGTTTTCATTTTAATCTTTTGTTTTAAAAAAAAAAACTTAATTCAACTCAAATTAACAAAATTTATATTCAAACTATTTTGGATCGGTTACATTAATTATATTTTTAATTTCTATTAAAATCTAAAAAGTTAAAATTAAAAACTTTCCCAGACATCACCTTAATCTAGTTTGCCTGTTTTCAAAACATAAATAAATGGCAAATTCACGAAAGGAAATACAATTACACTTTCTCATCATCGCATAGCAAAGCTCTGTGCGCTACTTTGTTTCTTACTTTAATCATCAAGAATTTATATCCTCTCAATGTGTCAACTTCTATTACGTTCAAACCTCCACTATGATTAATTATCCACATTGGATTTATTTAAATCTAGTTAAATTAATAGTAAATTATTAAATTTGATAAAAAAAAAAGAGTTAGTTATCTATTTAATCCCTGAATTATATTATTTGTGTCAATCAAACCCATAAAGTATGTTTTGGATCAATTTGACCACTGAATTATGCAATCTAACTCAATATAGTTCTTATGTTAAAATTTGTCGTTAACTTTGACGAAACCTCTCACATGCATATCATGTGATCCTTAAACTATAACCTAATATCTGACTCATATGCTGTGCACGTTAGGGGTGTAACTCGGGCTGATCGGGCGGGTTGGACAGTCAATCCTAATCCAACTTTAGGTATATAATCTTCAACCCCAACCCCAACCCTAACTCTAATCCTACCCGAGCATTGCCCGAGTTTTATTAAGGTGGGATCGGGTTGAATTTGAATTAATGATTTCGGGTATTTTACAGGTTTAATTCGGATAGAGCCAAAAATAGGCTTGTTGCTCTCAGTGCTAATGCTTTATAATATATATAATTTTTTTTTAATTTGTCGGGTTCAGGTTGAACTTGTGAACTCGAGCCCAACTCAAATTAAATTTGGGTTGAAATTTTTTGACCCAAATTTAATTCAAGTACCCAAACTCTAGTTTTTTTTGGTTAGACTCGGGTTGAAATCGGGTTACCCGACTCAAATTGCACCCCTAGTGCATGTTGGAATTTTCGTCAAGGTTAACGGTCAATTTTGACGGAAAGAACCTTAAATTGAAGTAAAATTTAATATAAAGACTTAATTGATACAAATAATATACTTCAAACACCAATAATTAACTCAAAAAATATTGACAAAATTGAAAGTGGGAAATCCAAATCCCACGGTTACAAGTCTTTTTCTTCTTCGTCTTTCTTGATGGCCCAATAGAAAATTCCGAACAGAGTCTTGCTTTCCCAACCAAAAACTAAAGTCAAGCCCAAGTCCAAAACTAAAATCACTTTCCCACTTTTGAAACTTCCTCTGCCAACACTTCTCTCTCCAACCCCTTCTCCACGCACCTCTCTCCCCGTTGGTGGGAATAAGTTAACACACACACGCACACACTCTCTCTCTCTCCACCCACCCACCCACCAGAGCAATAAAACCCAATAGCAAAAACTCTCTCTCTCCCTCTCTATATCGTTAAACCCATCCTAATTTGATGCACCTATTATTGAGTCCAAATCCGATAAAATCCATTTCCATCTTTGCATATTCTTCTCCTCTATTCCGATTTCGCTCCTCCGTCCGATCTTCTCTCACTTCTTCTTGTTACTATTATACCAACTCTTCCCCACAAAACCCCTATTCTATACACCCAAGAACAAGTATTCAATTAATGGCGACAACTCCAAAGCCATCCTCTGTGGCCACTGACGAAGAAGGAATTGCCAGAAGGTTTTGGATCAAGTTCCGCAAAGAGTCGATTCTTGCTCTCTATACTCCCTTTGTGGTCTGTTTGGCTGCTGGGAATTTACCGATAGAGACTTTCCGGCATTATATTGCGCAGGATGTTCATTTTCTCAAAGCCTTTGCCCAAGCGTGAGTGTTGTTTATGGGTTTCGTCTCTTTACTTTTCTGGGTATTGTTCGCTTGCGAAGAGAATGTGGATAATAATATCGCCATGGACATTAAACTTTACGCAAAGCTAAGCAAACTACTCCTTTGTGGTCTCTTCGGCTTCTGTTCCGGCATTATGTTGCTCAGGATGTTCATTATTATATTTATTTTCCCGGGTGTTGTTTGGTTGCCAATAATATTTAGATAAAGAAGAGTATTGTGTATATTTGGTTTTTATATGGCTGGAGTTGTTTTTGAGTTAACTTTTGCCTTTTTCCTATCCCGGCTTTGTTTGGACGCCAAGAAAACGAAGGAAAAGGAATAAAGAAGAGTGTTTTGAGCAGTTTGTTTTCTCTATTTGGTGGATTTATATTTTTTTCTATTTTAGGTATGAATTGGCAGAGGAGTGTGCGGATGATGACGATGCCAAGNTAAAAAAAAGAGTTAGTTATCTATTTAATCCCTGAATTATATTATTTGTGTCAATCAAGTCCATAAAGTATGTTTTGGATCAATTTGACCACTGAATTATGCAATCTAACTCAATATAGTTCTTCTATTAAAATTTGTCGTTAACTTTGACGAAACCTCTCACATGCATATCATGTGATCCTTAAACTATAACCTAATATCTGACTCATATGATGTGCACGTTAGGGGTGTAACTCGGGCTGATCGGGCGGGTTGGACAGTCAACCCTAATCCAACCTTAGGTATATAATCTTCAATCCCAACCCTAACCCTAACCCTACCTGAGCATTGCCCGAGTTTTATTAAGGTGGGATCGGGTTGAATTTGAGTTAATGATTTCGGGTTATTTAACAGGTTTAATTCGGATAGAACCAAAAATAGGCTTGTTGCTCTCAGTGCTAATGCTTTATAATATATATAATTTTTTTTTTAATTTGTCGGGTTCAGGTTGAACTTGTGAACTCGAGCCCAACTCAAATTAAATTTGGGTTGAAATTTTTTGACCCAAATTTAATTCAAGTACCCAAACTCTAGTTTTTTTTGGTTAGACTCGGGTTGAAATCGGGTTACCCGACTCAAATTGCACCCCTAGTGCATGTTGGAATTTTCGTCAAGGTTAACGGTCAATTTTGACGGAAAGAACCTTAAATTGAAGTAAAATTTAATATAAAGACTTAATTGATACAAATAATATACTTCAAACACCAATAATTAACTCAAAAAATATTGACAAAATTGAAAGTGGGAAATCCAAATCCCACGGTTACAAGTCTTTTTCTTCTTCGTCTTTCTTGATGGCCCAATAGAAAATTCCGAACAGAGTCTTGCTTTCCCAACCAAAAACTAAAGTCAAGCCCAAGTCCAAAACTAAAATCACTTTCCCACTTTTGAAACTTCCTCTGCCAACACTTCTCTCTCCAACCCCTTCTCCACGCACCTCTCTCCCCGTTGGTGGGAATAAGTTAACACACACACGCACACACTCTCTCTCTCTCCACCCACCCACCCACCAGAGCAATAAAACCCAATAGCAAAAACTCTCTCTCTCCCTCTCTATATCGTTAAACCCATCCTAATTTGATGCACCTATTATTGAGTCCAAATCCGATAAAATCCATTTCCATCTTTGCATATTCTTCTCCTCTATTCCGATTTCGCTCCTCCGTCCGATCTTCTCTCACTTCTTCTTGTTACTATTATACCAACTCTTCCCCACAAAACCCCTATTCTATACACCCAAGAACAAGTATTCAATTAATGGCGACAACTCCAAAGCCATCCTCTGTGGCCACTGACGAAGAAGGAATTGCCAGAAGGTTTTGGATCAAGTTCCGCAAAGAGTCGATTCTTGCTCTCTATACTCCCTTTGTGGTCTGTTTGGCTGCTGGGAATTTACCGATAGAGACTTTCCGGCATTATATTGCGCAGGATGTTCATTTTCTCAAAGCCTTTGCCCAAGCGTGAGTGTTGTTTATGGGTTTCGTCTCTTTACTTTTCCGGGTATTGTTCGCTTGCGAAGAGAATGTGGATAATAATATCGCCATGGACATTAAACTTTACGCAAAGCTAAGCAAACTACTCCTTTGTGGTCTCTTCGGCTTCTGTTCCGGCATTATGTTGCTCAGGATGTTCATTATTATACTTATTTTCCCGGGTGTTGTTTGGTTGCCAATAATATTTAGATAAAGAAGAGTATTGTGTATATTTGGTTTTTATATGGCTGGAGTTGTTTTTGAGTTAACTTTTGCCTTTTTCCTATCCCGGCTTTGTTTGGACGCCAAGAAAACGAAGGAAAAGGAATAAAGAAGAGTGTTTTGAGCAGTTTGTTTTCTCTATTTGGTGGATTTATATTTTTTTCTATTTTAGGTATGAATTGGCAGAGGAGTGTGCGGATGATGACGATGCCAAGGTGGGGATAAGCGAGTTGCGAAAGAATGTCCTTGAAGAATTGAAAATGCATGATTCATTTGTACAAGTAAGATAATTTAGACTCTCTCTGTGATTGCATGTGTGTATTAGGGATTGATTTTTTTTTTTTTTTCAAGATTTCTCGTTGCATGTATGACTATTTGTACTCTATCGTAAATGCTAATGCTTATTCATTTCTCTAAGTAAGATAATGTGAGAGTATGTGCCTTGAGTGCACGGATGTGCTTTCAATTCTGCTTCCTTGTAAGTTTATTTGTCCAATTTGGCACTACTTCTATTGTGATATAGATTCGCCGTTAGTTTTCCCAACTAGGTCATGTTATAACTGCTAATATTTGCTGACACAAGCAATATGTAGCACCATGTTGGATCATAACCAAACCAAACCAATCTAAGCCTTATGTCCCAATCAATTGGGGTCGGCCATGTTGGCATACAAACTGATAAAATTATCCTTGACCTATCCAACATCATTTGACTGGTACAAGAGTGCACATTGGGTACTTAGTAGGTCGAGCACATTTGTTACTTAATAGGTGGACTGCAAACAGTCTTGTTTTTTGGAAAACAAAAGGAAGCTTAGTATTTATAAGATGTGCTTTGAAATTGTTGCTTTTGAAGTTTTGAGATCATGTTAGATAGTGGTTGTAGTTGAAACATTGATGAAGCGTTTAACCAATGTGTATTGACCGAGTAAAACTAAACAAATATTGTACATGGGGAGTGCATAATTTTGAGGCTGCATTATAACTGTGCATGAAAGCAAGCATTATGTGGTTTATGCTGTTCAGTTTGTAGTTGGTTCCCATCTCGCTGGCATGCTAGAAACTGGGATGTAACATAGGGTTTGTCATTGGGGTTTGCACTTTGCAATGGATAATAGTGAAAGGATACAATATTGCGTTGGAGGCACTTTAGGGCACTAGAATTTTTGGAAAATTAGGGAGTCCTTCAAAGATGGCACTCTATTGAGTATACACTTATATTTAGCAAACTTAAATCAAATTTTGGAGGCACTGGGTAGTAGTTGGACGTGCTATTATAGAAGTTGAAAGGTGTTACTGTTGGCTGGAGAAATAGAAAAATAAAAAAGAGATGAACGGAAAAGAGCATAACACAAAATATGGTTTTACTATGGGTTGTTAGACTCACATTAAATAGAATCCAAAAAATCACCATATTGCCCTCATCTCTAGAATAACAATAAGAGTTAACTGGCCACAAGGAAGTGCATAGAAGTCATGGCCAACTTGCATAGAAGAAATATGAAATAGCATATACTAAGGTTCGTAATAAAAGATATTTTGAACTAGTTTCAGAATTCACAAATGGTATGAAAATTAAACCTCTATCTAGCTTCTTATTAATGAAGTGATGACCAATCTCTACACACTTCATTTTATCATGTTGAACTGCGTTATGATTAATGCTGGCAGTAACCTTATTGTCATGGTACATACTCTTGGGACAATCACAAATGAATCCCAAATCTGCAGATGAAGTCTGAAACCACAAAATTTAGCAAACACCTTGTGCCATGACTTAATATTTTATTGCTGCACTGGAGTAAGCCATGAAAGTCTGCTTTTTGTTTCTCCAAGCAATATGAATTCTCCAGCAAAGTATGATAATGTGAGAAAAATTGTCCGTACAGGCTTCCATTTTTGGATTTCCTTGATTGGGATAGCAATATTCTTTTCCTAAAGCAAACTTTAGGTACATGAAAACTTAGAAAACAACCTCCTTGTTACTAGAGCAGGGATAAATATAATGCATAAGCTAATTTACAACACTTTGGATACATAATATCTGGACGTGTGTGAGGACGATAGATAAGCCTTCCCATTAATCTCTGAATCTTTTTGTGTCTGACTTCAACTTTAATCGCTGCCCTGTGAAACGTATCAAACCATGCTATAGGTAATTGCTTCAATACATAAAGAGCATTCTTCATCTTGCATACCTTCCCATTTGTTTCTTGGGATAAGAAGTGCAGCAGAATAGACACGAACAAATAATAATAAGAAACACATTTATGTGTCAGATGTTGAGTACAATCTGGAACTCGTTTTTTAACAACGATAAGCAAATCCATTTCATCAACTACAGGATCAATATTACAAGGAAAGGCAAAAGGAAGTTCATTAACAGGTAGGGGAGTTGAATTTGAGGGTGATGAAACTGGATTGAAGGACTGCAATTGAGGGACATGATGGATACTTTGCTCTGGCTCGCCTCCAGATTCTCTCATTGTGATCTTTCTTGAAACAACACACATACAAATTCTTCATTTTTTGCATCTGTTGAATTATATTTTCTCCCCAGAAGAGATGGGACATGAGTGGGAAGAAAGATTCAGGTTCTCAAAAAGTAACAACCATGTGGACAATTATTTTTTGGCTGGATGAATGATAATGCTTGTAACCCTTTTTGTGGCAAATACCCAATAAAGATACGATGTAAAGGTTGTGGATTAACTTTGCCTAATGAACGACAATAATCTTAGAAAAACAGATATAACCAAACATCCGAATAATATGCAAAGGTTTTGTACCTAACTAAAGTTACAAAGGGAGTTCTATGTCCGATAACATTACTAGGCATCTGATTGATGAGATGAGTTGCTGCATCACTCCACCAAGATTTTGGAACACCCTATAGTGTATCAATGAGCTAGTAAGCTCCAAAAGATTGCTATTTTTCTGATTGAAGTATGTGCATATCCAGTTTGATTTATAATGCAATGCTATGAGAGATATTCTGGGATGTATGCTACTCTATTATCACTCTTAAGCATAGTTGTTAGTATCGTACGATACGCGATATGTATCGTACGATACGTTACGATATGGAGGTAAAACGATACGGATTGTAGTTATGTATCGTTTTTGCACCGTATCGTCCGATACACGATACGTTTTTACGATACGACCGATACGCGTAAAACCTGTTTGTTTTTTTTTTTTTTCTGAAACGACGTCATTTTGTTTAAATAAGACACTAATTTTTTTTTTTGTATAAAAATTTCTGAATCTTGATTAATTTTATAGATTGAGTTCAAAATGGATGTTAGAAATTTGGATTAAAAGTCTCTTTGAGATTTGAAGTTTGAATTAGTGAACTATGGTTGTAAACTTTGCATTATAATATTAGCGAACTATGTTGATGACTTGAATAGGTGGTGAAATATGAATGAAATGCTATATTTTTATGAGTGTATGATTTTTTTTCGAAGGTATATATATATTTTTTATTATTTATTTAAGATTGCACCGTATCTTACGATACACGATACGATACACTATTTTTAAAAAACGATACGCCTTCCGATACATGATTTGATAACTATGCTCTTATTCTAGCCACAAACTTGAGTGCCTATCTTTGTATGCAAATTCTTAAAGCATGAAAAGTTTTGTTATCACTAATTCCACTCTATTCACTTTAGATCAGTAATTAATAAATGAAACAAACAATTGATAGTCAAAGAGAGCCTGAGAGAACTTGAGGCGAGTGCTTTTATTACTATTACTGGAATGAGTGGAACATTTATGCTTAACAAATTCACAAGCATTGTTATCAAAATTGTACGATTCGTGATTCGATTTAGTCCGCATTCGATAAGTATCTTATTATATAACCATTTTTTGTCGAAAATCACACCTGAATTGCAAGTATTGTATGATTCGATTTGAAAGAATTGCATGATTTATTTTATTATTATTTTTAACCCCAAGTGGGCTGCGAGCAAAGGGAATAAACCCCGAGCGACGTCATTTTGGCTATTAGATAGTCAAAATGACGTTTTGCTAGAAAAAGCTCACTCTCAAATATAAAACTCGCGTCTCTCTGTGTGTCTTTAGTTCGCGTCTTTGCCTCTCAAATTGACTGTTCAAGTGTCTGTGAATGTCACAGATGGTGTCGCCTTTACTCTATGTATGTTTCTTCTTCTTCTTCAAAAACAGTTACCAAACCCTAATATACCTTGTGCCTTCTTCTTCTTTAATAAATGCGCTCTATTTTTTGGTCTTCATCAAAATTTATTTTTCAATCGAATGTGGGAAGTGGTTTTCTAAGTTTACATGTTTGAATCAGTATGAGCTTTTCCTATTTTAGTTTAACTNTTTATTTTTCAATCGAATGTGGGAAGTGGTTTTCTAAGTTTACATGTTTGAATCAGTATGAGCTTTTCCTATTTTAGTTTAACTTCATTAGTAGGAAGACAATAGTTATTTGTTGGTTATAAAATCATACATCTTTCATCGTGGTCATTTTGAGGGAACAATTTATTATGCATTAAGAAAGGAGTAACAGAGGTACAAACTTAATTATAACTTTATAAAGATTTATAAAGGCTAGCATCTTTTCATTTAGATGACATGATCATGTCAATACTGTTAATTGATTATTTTTAAAATACAATAATGTTTAATATTTAATATCTTGTCTATTTTAAATATGTATTTGTTATATTTTTATTATTGTTCACATTTTGTGTCAAATCTTACGATTCTCGACTCTCAAATTTAATATTTTGATTTTTGATATGAATCTTGATTTGATAACTATGTTCACAAGTATCACATGTCAAAAAGTTTCGATTATAGTGCTCAACTAGGGAGAAAAATAGATTGTCTAAAACACCAAAAGATGGGTGACCTAGTTGCCGGTGAGTGATCTGAAGAGCCTGACCTACCAAAGTCTCCCAGATGGAGTAGAAGTAGCCTAGCTTCCTTATGAGTCCTACCATAACCAATTGTTGTCCTCATGTCTAGCTCAATATGTAGGAAAACAAGTAATTTTGTAATTTGAAATTGTGTGGTGCTGTTGATGGGCAACTTTTTTGCACATTCTCAACTAATGGAAGGATAGGTTCCAATCCTTGTGGAAGCCCCAAGTACTTCAAAGGCCATTCTCCCAATGTACAATTAAACTGTTGCTAATATAGCTAACTATCTCATTTGAACATTTATTCCTACAAATGAACTCTTAGTCCTTTTAATTGTCATGCCCGACTCTAAATTAAATACCTCAATATTTTCTCACAATTTTGAAACTTCTGCCCATTCGTGATAAAAAGAAAAATGTATCCTTGTTGAATTGCAAATGAGGCACATAAACTTTTCCTTCGCAAGCCAAAATGCCTCAATCAAGTAACGATCCTTCGTTGTAACTTTTTCTCTAGCCCAGTGGAGAACGAACAGGCAAGGATGACAAGAAGCTCAAGCCCCCACACTAATCTCCTTGACACATTCGCTACCAAAGTGAAAGGAAGGGCTACAATTGACCTGCCTATCCAAGTCTTCTCGATGCATTAAATCTTCCTCTTGGCCTGCCATTAAGGATGATCGAAAATTCATAGAGCTCAAACCTAATTGAAAATTTTTAGAACTCTAAAAACCTTTGTTTCTTACAGTCAAATCTAAAAAACTCCAATGATTATGTGTTTTTTTGAAGTCAAATTTAAAAGCAGTCCCCTCCTTGGCCTTTTGCTTGTACTCCACTACTCATTTGCTACCAATACTACATCTAAAATTTACTTCCCTTTCACAAAAGTTTTGTAATATTCAATATTGTATCACTCAAGTCTCCTCTCAAAGGAATGTTTGTTGTTTATTGACTTGTAGATAATAAACTTGTGGACAAATTTGAAACTTGAAGGATTGAGGAGAGAACTAAGGAAAGAGAACATATGGAACATGAAATTGGGGACACTACCACAAGTATCTTGAATAGTAATTTTTTAGTTGGACACGGCCAACTTATGACCATGATGTTTTTTAATCGCACAATTGTTAATTATTAAGGGGGTGCAGGATTTGTTTATTTTTGTTTTGTTATTACGTCACTTATGGAATTATGAATGTTGATGGAAGTAATGAGTTTTGAAGAAAAAAGTGAATGTTTATTTTGATCTATTTTAAAAAATGAATATTTGCTACTTCTTATTATTAATATTATGATAAAATATGCATTGTTTTTAATATATTACAATTCTATTATTATCTAAAAATGATATAATATTATTTTAATTTCTCATATTTTTGCCGTATTCATGCCCTATATTTTTGAACTTTACCATATTTGTGTGTTTGCATCCGTGCTTCCTAAATGCCATACCAAGGAGTAAAAAGCCACAAGCAATAGATGGCTTTATAAACTTGACTAACCAAGACATTAGTGCCAACTTCTTTGAATGTTGATGATTAAATGTATGCTCAGAAGTTGATGGTTCTTTTGTCTACTCTGTGATGTCAATCGAAAAAAAACATGATCTTGACCGAGTTAAATAATTGTTGACATCCAACTTAACAGTCAAGAGATGCATTGCCACCAAGTTTGCGTAGACAACTCAACTGACTCCCTTTTACTATTAGAACTAGTACTAGCCTTTCTATATCTCCACAAACTAAAGATGACTAACCACAAAACATATTGATTAGAGAAGCCTCACAAATAGTTGACCAAAAACACCGTTAGGATTGTACTTACAACAAAAAAATATATTGAAGCTGTGGAGCTAGGAAGTACAGACACTTCATTTTGGTCAGAGTGTCAGTCTCGGATACGTCTAGCTCCTCTGGGACACGGACCCACTCAAACACTTGTTGACACACTAAAATGAATGTTCAATTTTTTTATTGTTAAATTTTTCTAATGATATGTTTTGGACACTTTGGGGAACGTGACTGACACGCTGGAGGACACATTTTGAGATTTATTTTTCAAAATTTTGGAAACTTGTCAAATAACTTTAAAATAGGAAGTCATTTTTTGTAAATGTTAAAGAGATATGTGTCAAAGACATAATATGAAAAGAGCTATAATCACTTCATTAACATGGATATAACAAAACACTAATATGAAAAGAGCTATGAACATTCATAGGGCTATGAACATTCATAGGGCATGGATATAACGAAACTTTGGACACAATTGTAAAATTATATACAACTAGATTAAACTTTCTATATGAATGTGTATCAATATATTTGATATTGTACTTTTTATTCGATGATATCATGATGCAAATTGTTAGAATTAAGGAAATGATGAATTGAATGGTTATTATCAAAATATATTAATTTTATCATTGATCATATATATGTACATATATTATGTTATGTGTAATTAAATACATAATATTTAACATGTCTCTCAGCATGTCTGTGTCATATTTTTTTTTTTTTGAAAAACCTACTTTTTTTGAAAAATTTCGTTTTAGCATGTCCGTGTCCATGCTTCTTAACTGTGGAGCATAATAGTAAGAGAGCCGAAAAGTCACCCGTTTTAAGAATCACCAAAAAACTAGTTGTTTTTGCTTCAATCAATTTAAATCAACACGACAGGGTCTAGTCGTACCCTTTTGGTCAAATTGGGTGACGAAAAGGAGGCAAGAATCCCTCCAAAAAGTAGATCCGAAAATCCTTCATATGTTTTGAAAATATAAAATGGGCATCCAATAAAATAATCCACAAAAGTCACCATAAATTTCAGCATGAACAGGTGATTCAAACCATGTAGATCACACATGATGATGTCATGGTCTGCGGACTTCATCCTTATAGCACTGAAGTTGGCCATATGGACAGGGTCAGATTCTGGTGTCTGACAACCTTCAGATGATTTTCCTTGGGCTTCAGTGTTAATTGGCTTTGCATAAAGGCTGGAGAAAGAGAATGAAAGATCAGAACAGAAAGAGTGTAATACCAGATAGGGGTTTAATCTGAGTTGTTAGACTCATCCCTTCACCCACGTATCTCATAAGTTACAACAGTATCCTCATCTCTAGAGTAACTACAAACGCTAACAGATAACAATTGCATAATTTTAGAGTCTGTTGGATGACTTTTGAAAGCAAGATGCTTGTCCTTTTTTTTCTTAGCTGAAGCTCAATTGAGGACACCTATTTTATTGATGTAAAATACATGTTGATCCAGCATTTCTAAAGCCCCTTGGGATTCTCATTCCCCGTTACTTTGAGCTCCGAATAGGTATGCATTATGAAAATTTGTTTTGATTGTTGGATTCTTAACTTACAATGTTACATGAGTCCCAGTTTTCCCAAAGAAAGTAATGTAAGAAATTTATTTGTGAGTCCTACATTCTTATGTAACTTTAATGTTTCTTTGTTAAAGGAAATAACTCAATTAAGTCTGCATTATGAGTTACGCAGGAATGGGGGTCTGACGTGGCGAAAGAGAGCACTTTCAACTCTGCAACTGTAAAGTACACGGATTTCTTGCTGGCAACGGCTTCAGGAAAGGTTGAAGGAGTAAAAGTTCCTGGTAAACTTGCAACTCCTTTTGAGAAAACCAAAGTTGCAGCTTACACTTTAGGTGCTATGACGCCATGCATGAGGCTTTATGCCTTTCTAGGCAAGGAGCTCGAGGCACTTCTGGATCCTAATGAAAGTAGTCACCTCTACAAGAAGTGGATTGATAATTATTCCTCGGAAGGTTTTCAGGTTTGTTCTACTGTTGGACACTAAACATTTTTTATTCTTCTTGTGGTCTAACAGATACGGTTCACTGATTACAGTTAGGAGAAAATTACATTACATAATGACCTTCTCTCCAACAGCTCAACTATCTTATTCTTTGAATTTAGGCATCAGCTTTGCAAACTGAGGACTTGCTGGATAAATTGAGTGTGTCCTTGACTGGCGAAGAGCTTGATGTCATTGAAAAGCTTTATCAACAAGCAATGAAACTTGAGATAGGGTTCTTCACTGCTCATTCGCTTGTTCAGCAAACTGTCGTTCCTCTAGCAAAAGGGCACAACCCCGCAGAACATCGTCTTATGATATTTTCTGATTTTGATTTGACGTGCACTGTTGTTGATTCATCTGCCATATTGGCAGAAATTGCAATTCTAACAGCACCGAGATCTGATCAGAATCAACCAGAGACTCAAATTGCTAGGATGTCATCAACTGATCTAAGGAATACATGGGGAGTTCTTTCAAAGCAGTATACAGAAGAGTATGAACAATGTGTAGAAGGCATTTTGCTTAGTGAGAAAGGTATATGTTTTGTTGCCTTTATTCTTTCAGCTCTATGCTATACTTTGAAGATTCTGTAGCAATCTAATGGTGGAACTGGAATGGTATAATTCTATGGAAATTAACTCTCCCTTTTTGGCAGTGGAGCAGTTTGATTATGATGGTCTGCGTAAAACACTTGAGCAACTTTCTGATTTTGAGAGAAGGACAAATTCAAGGGTGATTGAATCTGAGGTACTTAAGGGACTGAATCTTGAAGATATAAAACGGGCTGGGGAACGCCTAATTCTCCATGACGGTTGTGCTGGTTTTTTCCAGAGCATTATAAAGAATAAAAATCTGAATGCCAATGTCCATGTCCTTTCCTACTGTTGGTGCGGAGATCTCATTAGATCAGCTTTTTCATCAGGTATGCTACTTGCTTATCAGAACTATGAAATACAGTTTCTACATGTGGCCATCATATTTGGATACTGTGATTTGTTTCACACTCATTGAATCATGGTTCAAAGTATCGGCCAAGTTATATCCACCTCGGCCACCAACGCTATGATACCGATACACGTTATGGGAAAACACGTTTTTGCTTGAATTGTTTCTGAATCGGTATAACTTGGCCCACCTCGGTTCCAACTCATTCAAGTTGGCCAATTCATATCTGAGTCATTCCGATTCGTATAAGATCGTTCAACCACACTAACACCACAGAGAGAATGCCAAAAAGAAGGCAAAAGGAAAGTAGAGAAATTTTATACCCAACAGATTGAGTTAAGAGAAAATTAGTAGCCCATACCTGTAAATTCTTTGAAGAATCACCTTTTTTAGTTCTCGCAGAGCCTCTTCTCTTCTCTTCTCCTTATTCTTTTTCGTTGCGGTAGATACCCATCACTGCAACCCTAGATCCCAAGGCAGTGAAGCATCAACAATCATAGAAACTCTAGATCTTCAAGTTCGATTTCATCCTCTCTCACAGAAACCCTAGATCTTCCCGTTTGAGTTGATCTCTCGCGCTCACGCTAACTCTCAAACTCTCCAGTTCTCTCTCTCTCTCTCTCTTAAGTTTTGATTTGAGACCCAGGCACGAAATAGATAAAATATATATTTATATTTCTCATAATTTTTTAAAACTAAAAAAGAATTATTTATATTCACATTAATATAATATTTATATAAGTAGTATTGAGATCTAATATATTTATTAAATTAGTATCAATAGATATATAGCTGAAGTTGTTTTTTTTTTTTTAGAATTTTTAATATTAATTACTAGTGTGTTCAAAATAATTATAGACATATATTAAAAGCTTACCAATTTAGTGATATTTGATTTTTAATTTTGGAGAATGTCAAAAAAAAATGTGACATTGGTTGGGGACCATGCTATTAATATTTTTGGTCGCGCCCTAATAATTTCTTTTTATTATGTTTAATGTGTTAAATAATGCATTTTGGGGATATGATGCATGAATTATGATGCTTACATTTTTTTTAGGATTTTTCATATTTTTTCAAAACTTTTGGGCCTTCTATCTAGCATTCTGAGCAAATTGGCCAATACCGTGCCGCGACGCCGCTATCTATGTGTGTCCGTGCCCTCCAAGTTGATAGCTACTTTATGTAATCTCATAATTTGTCCTTCTGTCATGCGAATACAGTTCGCTTCTTTTAGTTTATGTTAGAACATGGAGTGGTTGTTGGCATTTTATTCCATTTATTGTTAACAAGCTTTTTGGTTTGCTCTAGGTGTTAGTTTGTTGGATATAAACTTCCTCGAAAAGATAATATTTGTGGCAATGTACGGGAGAAGGCTTGTCGGAAATGCTAATCTTCACTAGTGTATCTGGTGTCTTTTTTTAATTGGCGTTGTTGCGTATATTAGTAATTCAGGAAATCAGAGATCATCTCACTATGCTATTGTGACAGCAATTGTTGTTGTCCCAAGGTAAGAGAAATGAACGAAAACTAGCTCTGTTTTAGAAAATGGTTGGTAATTTCTGCTCATGGATCTTTTTTGAAACTTTTTCAGAATGGTTTCTTCAAATAAGTCAGACATATATACCTCTTCGAATGAAAATTGAGTCCTACATTTGTTGTAATTTAATGTTTGGTGCAGTACACAGTGAACATGTGCTTAACTGTTGTTGAAAACATATATAGAACTGTGATAATGCTCTCTTTTTGTGAAGTTTTCCCCCATGATCAATTCCTTTAGTATCTAAGTCATTTCAGCATTTCCAATGGAGGGGGGCAGTGGATGAATAAAACGTTTATTGAAGCACTAACCCCAGAATGATGGCAATATGCCACACTTGTCAACTGATATGAAGGGACATGTTTGAAATTGACCTCTTATGTTTCTATTTGTGGGAACACTGGTGATTTACTTGGACAACAAGGATAAGTTCATAGCTTGATTTTGTCTCAACTATTTTTTTTACAAAATGATTCTACTTTTGATCATTACATTGCAAGATTCATGTCTGCTTCAAAAATCATTTTTTTAACTATTTATACTGTGAATTCATGTTTGCTGAAAAAATCACACTTTATCTGGTTATTTAACTGATTGCCTATGGCACATGCTGTTTATATACACTAGGAAGTCTTGCTTTTAGCAATGCTTTATTACCAAATCCGCTGTAGCACAATTGGTAAAGGTCTTTATAAAAAAAAAATGCTTTATTATTTCACACGAGACCACATGAAATATTGTGCTTGGATACTTCTCTAGCTTAAGGCGATACCTTAGGTCAAACTTAAGAATAGTTGGCTCCATGAATCCTATTTTAGGATCATGTGTTTTTTGGAGCATATGGCGTGCAAATAAAAGGCTAATATTCGTTGATGAACAAACACTTCCACTGCTGGTTTCATCCACTAATTCCTATAATTTCTCAGCCAGTGTGCCTGATTGGTGAGTCTGGCGCGTACACGGTTTTCCCTTTTTCGGACTGCTCCTCAAGCCTTCAATTGCTGATCTGCTTGGGCCAGCTTTGAGGTTCTACCCTGGATTTTCATTGGTTTCCCCAGGAGCCTTTATCATTTTTATCACGCACACATCTTCAAGCAATCGGAGGAGGCTCCAGCCAGCGTTCATAGGGGCTTTGGTGCCAGCTCCCCTGTCATCAGGTCACCAAATTACATGTATAGAAGATACGAAACTTGAGATCCCATATAAAATTCCATCCGACAAACTGCTTGATAATCTTATGTCAGTCAATTTCTAGGCTACTACACTGTTGCTTCCTGTGAACTTTCATCAAACAATTATGGGGCAGAAATTTTGGAGATTTGATTTGTTTTTACCCATTTTTGATAGAATAGGAGAAGGAAATAGGACAGAGCAGAGAAAACAAGAAAGGATCAGAGGGACAAGTTCTGGAACTCTTGAAAGAAAAAAAAGAAATTGGAGAAAACTATAATTCATCTAACCTCTTGTTCTCTACTCTCGCTCTGATCTATGGTCTATTCTCTCATCTTCTTTCATCTTTTATTTCCAATCATTTCTCCTCCTTGTGGATTCATGGCCCCCGATGGATTTTAGGTTTTCTCCGATTTTTTCATTTTCTTTCAAAAGGTCGTGAATTTGTCCTCCTTATCCTCTCTTGTATTCTCTCCTCTATTCTATTTCCTTCTCATATTCCATCAAAAAAGGAAGAAATGCAATCCAAATCTCCAAAATATCAGCCTCAAAGTGTTTGATGATAGCTCCTAGGAAGGGGCAGGTTAGTATGCCCCCAAATTGACTGAAATAAGGTTGTCCAGCAGCTTTCTGAAGAAATTCTGCATGGCACCTCACGTTTCACGTCTTTTTGTATCTAATCAGAAATACGTGAATTAGTGAATGAATCTAGGAATGGAAGTGCTTGTTTACTTCTGGATTTGAACCTTTTATTTGCACGTCGGCTCAATTAAATGTTCTCAAGTCAAGTTGCATCAATTTGGTATTAAAGCTGAACATCCTCGAAGATCGCATCAAAAGGGAATGTCTAATCATTTATTCTAACCATCTGAAGAAACAACTATAGGTATAAGAAAAGTGAATGTGTCTCGTTTGGTCATTGCGACAATGTCGAATTCATTTTTGTCTCTGAAGAAATATATGTACAAGCTATAAGAAAACTATCGCTGGTGAGAGAAGCCTTTGACCTTTACTTTGACCCATGGACGAAGGTGTTATGACTCTTTTGCCCTTTAGCCTGAAGTTACAATTGAACCTTTGTTAAGAAAATGATAACAAAATGCTTACATGTCAAAAAGTATTTAGTCGGTGTGATTCATATTTTTTTGGCTTGTAAGTGTGTGATTGACCTAAATCTTATACTGTTGAGAATGAGGAAAAATAAAAAGATTGCTAAATTTATTTTTTGCTCTTCAAGAAATAATTGAATTAGTCATACTCAATAATTTGTTTTGTGGACATATAACGCAAACACAACTAATGGGCGAAGATGTCTCTTTCTTGTCCTCCCTTTTTTGTATTCTCCTTGCTTTTATTCATCTCTCTTTCCAACACCAACAGCCACACCACCATCATTACACCATAACCACCACTACATGGACATTCACACCTATGTCCACACACACGACCTCCACATGATAGAGTGGGGAGAGAAGATGGGGGAGAGTTTCTGTTTCTTTTTACAAAAGAAAAGTCAGGAGAAAGAGAGAAGAGGGGGAGAGAAAAAGAAAAGAGGGGAGAGTAGAAGAGAAAAGACAGAGGGTAGACAAAAAAGAAGAGGGAGGGGGAGGGCAGAAGAGATTAAGATAGAGTAGGAGTAAAGGGAGAGAGATAGGGGAGATCAGGAAGAAGAGATAGATTAGAGGTGGAATGAGATAGAGAGAGTAAAATAAAGTGGATGGAGAGAATGGGTGAGAGAGAAAGAAGAAAAAAGGAGTAAAAAAGAAGGCTGTTTTTCAGTTTGTTCCAATTTCTTATATGAATTTGCAGATTTTTTGGGGGTCTTTTCTTTCATATGTGCTATTTATATAGTATTTTTTGCTTATGCTGTGAAGTTCCTTGTTTTATGTTGAGCAGGGGACTTAAAGGTTCTGAATGTACATTCAAACGAGTTTACCTATGAAGAATCCATATCCACGGGTGAAATTGTTAAAAAGGTCGAGTCCCCCATTGACAAGATTCACACTTTCAGTGATATCCTACAGAAGTGCAGCAATGACAGGAAGAACTTGACCATATACATTGGAGACTCAGTTGGTGATTTACTCTGTCTGCTCGAGGCAGATGTAGGCATTGTGCTTGGCTCGAGTTCAAGCCTAAGGAGAGTGGCGAGTCATTTTGGTGTTTCTTTTATTCCATTATTTCCTGGGTTAGTTAAGAAGCAGAAGGAATGTGTTGAAGGAGGCTCATCTAGTTGGAAGGGGCTAAGTGGCATTCTTTACACAGTCTGTAGTTGGGCTGAAATACACGCTTTCATTTTGGGGCCATAGAATCTTTTTTGGCTCACGAACTCCTCATGTTAGTTAGGACAATTGAAGGAATCCTATATATAATACAAGGCAGATGCAGCTTGGTGGCTGATTTTATTGTGGGCCACAGATCACCTTGTTTGTCTCTCTTTTGTTTTTTACAGGGTCTTGCATTCAGAGATATAAATGCCATTCTTTTGGCCGGACATTCTTAGTAGGTATTTAAACAGCTTCTCGTTCTTTCCTTTTTCCGTTTAGTTTAAGTGGCTACCTTTTGTTCTCCATTCGTATTATTGTACCAACTGATATTGGGAACAAAAGTTTTTTTTTCCCTCCAGGTATTGAGAGATCAGCTGCTAGCATTTCCAAGAGGGGGTCGTATAACATTTCAATCAAGTGTATACTCGTGCTTTTACAGGTTATTGCTGTTCCGGTTTTGGCTGAAATGGCAATTTAGAGCTGACAATATGTAGATATTCAGCTACATTATTATTGAAAGGGATAAGTTGCTGGAAGCTATTTCTTGTTCATGCAGCTCTCTTTTTGAAAACATTAATGGTGTACACCTTTATCTGTGATAATATTCTCCAATTCAATCCTCAGTTGAGTCTTTGATGGTAAGTTGGCAATGTTATGTTTGTTGATTTTGCATTCATGGGTTTGGCATGTCTCCTTGAAATGTTCATTCCATGTGTGCTTTGTGGCTAACCAAAAAGGGTTAACTGTAAAGTATTTATTTAACAAATACTGAATAAAACTGTTCTGGCCTTGTATTGCCTGAAAGTTTTGCAGGAGTTGAACTTGCATGAGTTTTGGCATAATTACCTGTTGGTCTAATTGACTGCAACTGAGACTGAAAAGCTGCAGTAGCATATTTTCATTGATTTGGTTCCCTTTCTTTTGCACAAAATTTACTTTTTTTATTTTATTGAACCTCTTTGTGATTGAGTAAATAAATTATATGGATACCCCTTATATTTTGTAAAAATAACATGTTTACGTTTGGACATCTTTAAAAAAACCGGGGTGGGGGGTGGGACTTCCACCTGTTGTTGATTAGCAAAACTAATAACCTTTATATCTTTGTAATATTGTAACTTCCATATGTGCCCAAGTCTAGGTAAACTTAAACCACATCCAAGCATACTATATAATACCTTTCGAGCAAGCTTAAACCATTTCCAAATCTGTCGTCTTCCTCTATCACACGTCTTTTCTGTAGTGTGAGAAGTTCAATGTTCCTGCCCCCAGGACCTGCCTTATGTATAAGCCACTGAAATGGTTGCCAAGGGACTTATTTTCCGTTTAGTTTAGCAGAAAAGATAGAAAGTAGGAGATATATATTTTTTATTATTGAAGGAAGGAAAATATAAATGATACATTTTATTTGTTTTGTGTTTGATTGGATAGATGAAAAATAAAAATAATTATATTTTTTTATTTTTTGTGTGTTGGCTAAGATTAGGGGTGACAATGAAGTCGTGTTATGTCAGATTTGTATTGATTCATTACGGATTTGTGTCGAATATTAGTCGAACTTAACTCAACTCATTTAACTAATTGTATTGTATCGGGTTGCGAGTTGACTTGTTTATTTTTGTGTTCATGTTCGTGTTTGTATTTGTGTTGATTTACATGAACTTTGAATAAAAAATTTAACGCTAATATTCTATTTTCACTTAATTGAATCCATATTAATATTTTTTTTACAAACTAAAAATTAACTTAAATAAATATAATAATAATAACTAAAAATATTTTTTTTATATAATAATTATGTCAATGCTTAATAAATAGTTACAAATAATTAATATTTTATGTCTATAATAATAGTTAAATATGTTAGTTTCGTGTTATCATACAAACGAGAAAATAGAGGAAGTGTTTATTTTTAAACAAATAGGTTGATAGTGTCAATTTTGAGTGACTGGTTGAACTGAATATGAGCATTTTATATTTCTTAGTCACGTGTCAGGTCATTTTTAAATTCGTATCGAGTTATAATTAAGTTCGTGTTATAAAATTCGTGTCGAATTTGAGTCGTGTAATCATGTTGAGTCAAAAATTTTCACCTCTAGTTAAGATGAAAAAAAATATTTTTTTTTAATTTTTAATTTTAAATTTTTTTTAAACTATATATATAAATAAATATTTTATCACTGTATTTTTATATGAAATTAATGTATACATAATATATGTATTTATCAAAAGATATATTAACAAATAAGATAGATCTCAACACAAATAATTAATTTTTCATCCACTTTTCTTTCGATTTTTGAAAGATTGATTTTAGTGAGTTGGAAGGAAAATTATTTCATTTACTTTTTCATTGTTCTTATTTTTCTTCCTTATCAAACAAGATGTTTTATTGATCTCTCTAATTTTTCATCCTTTCAATTTTTCATTTTTTTATTATACGAAATGGAACATTAAGAAAAGGGTCTTGGGGGNGGGGGGGGGGGGGGGGGGGGGGGGGGGGGGGGGGGGGGGGGGGGGGGGGGTCATGGCGCCTCCTGCACTGTAAAACCTGTGTATATATGCACCAAAGAGCAATGGAAGAAGTTCCATTCCCAGGACAATTTCTATAATATGTGCTTCTAGTTTTCCATACACCGACTAATGTCCTAACAGTATCTATTAAATATTGATATATCACAATAATAATAATATTCATCTATTGCTATAATAATAGGATATAAATTTGTATCCTTACCCTTGTTAGTTTTATTTCAATTTTTTATTGTGCTTTTTTGATTACGAGTGTTATCATAAGTAAACTTCGAAGTAAGATGAACGATGATTTGTTTCATTAGTTTTTTAGTGTGTACATGGAAAATAAAGTTGTTAAAAAATTGGCACGGATCAGTCATGTGATAGAAAAAAATGTTGAATATTATTTTGATAGACCAGTAATTGGATATGCCGAATACTACTCTGTTAGACGACTGAGGGGATATTTGATAAATAATTATTCATGTGGTTCATTTTTTTTTTCTTTGTTCATGATGTATGTATATTTACTGGTTTGATATATTTTATGCATTGCAAAGTTGAATTTACTAAGTATAGAAACAATTCATGTTCTAGGTGTTAGTTTATGTACATAAGGTTTGGGCCTCCTTCAAAGTAAAATCTTAGTTCTGTTACTGCTAAGGCCTCAAATGCCAACCAGAATTTGGGGTCCCTAATACACTATTTTTAAAAATATTTTTGGGGCCCTTAATTTAGTTTTATCTTTGAATTTTAATTTAATTTGTTATTTTGTTTTATCCAATTTTTATATAATACTATCAATGCACTAGGTGCGCAGTGAACAATTTTAGGTGATGAATATGCCATGAAAATTAAAAAAAAGAAAATAAAGTATTTGTGTAATTAAGTAAAATGATATCTCATATTTTTCAAGTTTATAATTTATTATAAATACCATGATATATAATTAAATTGTTATATAAGATAAATATAATAATATTAAGGAATAATTCATATCTTAATTTAGAATGACAATACTGTTTTTATGTGTGTTTGAAGGATAATTTATTGATTCAAAAAAAATTTCAAATATTTTGACATTACCACCTTTTACATTTGTTTGATGTATTTTTAGATTATGGGCGTGCCAAAGTCTAGATAGACTGAAAATCCAAACACGTATCATCTTACGTACTTGAACCGACGTGGGGTTTTAAATCGTGACTGTTCAGGTAACTGTAGCAAAACGTAAGGTTAGCTATATGTTATTTTCTATGCCTAGGAGCTTCAAGGACTTTAAATAATTGTACTAGATAGAAACGTATGAATGATACTGTAAGGCAAATAGTAGGAATGCAAAGTAACAAGTAAATTAATTTCAAATCTGGAAGACGAATTGAACGCGACTTAGCATTAAATGAAAAATAGTAAAAACTACCGGAGTGATGTATTACAAGAAAAGTAAAATTGCTCGGAAGTAAGAAACAAGTAAAATGATAGACTGGCTCTGTGAAGAGTTTTTGTGATTGGTCGTGAGATCTCTTCTCGGTGGCCTAGCTCTGTGAAGAGTTTTTGCTATTTATAGAGATGATTCTGAACTGTTGATCTATCTTTTTCGGCCATTACTTGTGATCATGACCTTATCCCTTTAAATACGTGAATATATGTTGAACCGTTTCTAACTGGCGGCTCATAATGTCACGTTTCCTGGGATCCTAAGAGTCCTATTCCTCTAACTGTCCTGTCAATTGTGGACTCTCATAGGCTCTTTTGAGATCGTCGGATCCTTCCATGTGTCACCCTCTGATCTTACTATTGTTTGAGCATAAACATTGCCCTCCCAAAATGATGATACTGAATACTCCATATTTAGGGTGTCATTTTGGCTCAGTTGAATTTAAACTTTTGCCACTACACTGACCCTACTTAGCTGTCATAACGCCGTTGATTGTGAAGGTCGAGGATTGCAGCTGATGTTCCACGTGTAGTTCTTTGGTCTATCCTTAGTCTTTCCAAATCTGTAAGAAACGACTGGCACGCTATTCGTCCATATCTTTTAATCATCGTTTCAGCACATTCTTTGTACGTATATAATCCGTTTCCAGTCCTTGTTTTTTTTCATTATTCTGATTTTCTTTCTTCTTCCTCAACAATGAAGGCTCCCCGTGTTACTTCTCTTGAGGCAGCTCTTTCATGAGTGTGGGCTACTCAATACACTATTCGTGCCTTCTATCTGCTTTCTGATTCTTCTTCATCAACAGAAACAACCTTAGTGCCAGCCATCAAAGAGATGCCTCCCAATGAAGTCCAGTGTATTTACCTCAACTCTCAGATGTCCCTACCTTTCAACTTCCAAGAAGCTCTCCAATGGACAAACTGGCTCAGTAGCAACACGGTTCATGCATGGAAAGCTCATTCCCCAAATTGGATTTCATGGGTGGCATGCGTTAAAGTAGCCGGGTACTCTATGACATCGCCTTGGTATTTATGATACTATAGAGCTAAGCATTATTACGATGGCTATTGACAAGCCGTTGCTCAACGCC